CAACAAGAAGACAACCATTATGTAAATATTTTGTTTTATTATGTTTTTGCTTTTCACAATTTTGTCATTTTATTTTTATGATTTCTTTTACGTTTCGCTTGCTCTCATTTACAGGGGTCTGTCCCTCACAAAAACAGCCTTAGCAAATTTCTAACTGATGTTTATGATAGCCATATGTTAAACCATACTCCGTATGACACATGTGCCTTGAAGGTTCTGTTAATCAGTGTCTATATCTCTATATGTACATATTTGTGTTATTCTTGTTCCTATGGGAACAAAAGGGAGGAATTGTAGAAATGAAAACATTGATACCAGTTTATTTTGTTCATCAATTTTTATTATCATCACCCTTATTATTCATTTACTTTATATCACACTCTGTTAAAGCTTATCTAAACTGCAGCAGTTGCATCTCTCCAACATCAGTGTGTGAAACCTTTTAACTTCCATTTCTCACAGACTGCCGGTACGGAACCCCAGCTCCAGAACCGGTCACACGGACCACAAACGTATTGTCTGTTTTTACCCTGATAAGATTGACACTGACCACAAATGTACTGTCTGTTTTTACCCTGATAAAATTGCAAATGTGATGAACGCCTGTGAAAAAACAAGTTCTGTTACGCGTGAAGGTGTGTATAAATGAAGCCCGTATTGCTCATGTTTTCAGGAGCTCACAGAACTCTGTTTCATGTGCTGTTCCTCCTTCTACAGAAGAAACCAATAAAACTTCGCTTTTTATTTTTGTTGAAGTTCTCAGTCTAAAATTTATTAAACAATAGGTTTAATAAACTCCATAAAGGTTTTGTTGTTTGGTGGTGGGGGGCCTCCTGTCGCAGCTCTTTGCTTCGAACCACCTGGTGGGTCTTGCTCCATCAGTTTGACTGTCCCATGCTGTGACTCCAAAATGTTTCTTCAGATTTTATGTGGTCTTTTTGAAGCTAGACAGCACTTTCTCGCCAGCACAGAGGGTACAACGAACCTGGAAATGGTCATTCTTCGCTGACAGAAACTCAAAATAGTTCCTGTATTTCCAGCTACAAAATGAGAATCTTCCTCCTTGCTCCATTGTTTACGTTTCTGTAGTGGCATGGTGTCAGGTATCACAGGTGATAACGTGACTGAATTGTTGTATAGACCTGATGTCACTCCCCGATATGCATAGAGGAAATAAAATTAATTTACTAGAGAAAACTACAAAAATAGTATCTGTAGTGTGCTAAAAGGCTCGATTAGCTTGGTTAGTTTCAGAGCTCCTCTACAGTCATATTTTAAATTAACGGGTTCTCTCTTTTTCGAGCTACTTGACAGATATGTGACAGGGTACTGTGCGTAGATGGTTTAATCAGTGACATGAGACGTTAATTTTCTTTGACCCATCAAAATAAATGTGGTCATTTATTAACAGAATCAAAATTTAACGTCAAAACATTGTACACTTGATTAGACTGATCTGGTTCTGATTAATAAAACTTGGCACGTTTTACTTAATAAAAACAACAGACATTTCTGAAGGCATCTGGATTAATTACTGGCAAGATAGAAGTTTAAAGATGGGAAATGAAGGAGTTTAAATGGAGAGAAAAGATGGATGAGGGAAAGTGTGTTGACGAGGAATGGCACCCTTCATCCGACCCCAGCTCAGCCCCGGTACACTAGGTAGTGAAGCGACTCGTTACCTTTGCAGAAGATAGGTCAGCTCCGGTACGGAGTTCCATTTCAACGCTACCTTTCAGCGTCTCCTCAGGATGGCTGAGAATGGTCCGAAGTAGTGACGGTACTCCGTTCAACAACACGCTCATCTCCCGGGTGGATACACAGCAAGCTGTGAGTCCGTCAGAGGTTCCACTCAGATGTGGAAGACTCCATAATCCCAACTCGACTCAGAAGACTGAGTCTGAGAAAAACTCAGAAGACCTCAAAAGACTCAGAGGAACTCCAGAAGAACCAACGGAACTAAGAGGGACTAACGGAACTCACAGTTCCAGGAAGTGTCAACTTTTAAAGAGTTCTGCTTCCGGTTACTTTTAGGAAGTCCTGATTGGTTGAAGGAACCAACAGGGGTGTGGTTCTAGTGATGTCAAAGGGTTTTTACAAGTCAAGAAACAGCAGAAATGTTTAGGAACAGACAGAGAAATGTTTTGACGAAGTGAGAAACACTGCAGGTGCCAGTTCTCTTGTTTACTGTCTGAGAGCTTTAAAAACACGACAGCTTGTTCCAAGAACTTGTTTTGGACTGTCTCCAACTTTTGACCGACATCACTCCTTCTCATTTCAGACAGAAGATCAAAAAATGCATAATTACTTTGTAAAATAGACATTTTACTTGATTTCTAATTTGAATGAGGATTAAAAATCATTAATACTGTTTCACAGTTGATTTAAAATGAGTGGTTCACTTCAACATTTAGAAATGGTATGAACTAAACACACTTTTGATTATCAAGATATTGTAAAATAGTAATGATAATATAAAAAAATAGAGTGTTCTTTCAATTGATTAGTTCAGGATACAATTAGAA